GATGATCGCACCCTTTCGACCTCCTGACAGACGGTTTTTTTATCGCTCTAACTGAACAAGGGACCGACATCTCACAAAATTTCAACTATCAGGATTCTAATGTAATAGTAAGCAACACACCAGACAGTTTATCAGAAGAAAACAAAATCCGTCTCACTCCAAGAAAAATTACGAAAACGACTTATTTCGACGAAACACCCCTCTCCCTATCTGCTTGTATAACGACGAACGGCAACGCAATTCCTATGAGTTCAGCACATAAACCTAACAATAAAGTAAGTCTGCAACTCTCGGGAATCCTACAGCCAAGCAACTTCCGTCACCTACAGACTGATGATAGGCGACGTAGTTTGTTGTCTAAATTGAAGACAAAGACAAACTTAGTCTAAGAAAAGGAGCGGGTTAAAATATCAAATGCTCTGACTGTAATTAATGTAACAAACGTAAATAACCCGGTTGTTTGCTTATTTGGTAGCGCATTACATCGGTATCGCAAAGGTCATCCCGTGACGTCCTGAATTTTATTTTTTCGGGACTTATTTTGACAACTGCTAAAGTAGCGTTCATTACTGCGAATATCGCTTTCATATTCATTTGGGTTAATCCTGGGTTCAAACTGTGTACTTTAAGATCTTATCGGAAACCATCATAAAATGATAAATTTTCCGGGGTAAAACAATATTTTGGTGCAAATCGTACCACTTCTAAGTCGTTAGCATCCTTATAAGTTGGCCATACTTCCTCATAGGATTTAGAGTGCGCTAGTTTAAAGTCTATCACCCATTCACTGCCATTGATGTCTCCTTGGGTTGCAACAGCACACACTTCAGTAACTTTCCCGAGATCGACTTGAAGCCACTGTTTATCATCATTTATTTCGGCGCACCACCCATCACCTCTGGTACCGTTCAGACGTCCATATGATGGTAGGGCTTTGTAACCTGGGCTTTGATAATGACTTGATGCCCTCAGGAAGCTGTCAAGGATGATACTTGAATTGGAAACTCCAACAGCATTACTGAAGCAGCTAGCAAAGGCTTCTGCGTTCCAAAAATTTGCATATTTCAGTAAATGTTTTGCCTTCCTTATCACTGTTTATTCTTAACATAATATGCACGACATGTCGTAGCACAGAATTCTCTAGCTTATAAAAATTAAGAAATTACGATACAAAAACTGGGAGAAATCTATTTTAGAACCATTAATTCATTTCTCGCTTGAAGACATTTTTATGCTTGCCAATGGGTTGATATGGTGCGCGGAATAATTAAGAGGCCAGGTGGGCTGCTATCCCTATTCCCCATTTCACATCTTGATGTTAACACCAATTTAGGTTTAGGCTGAGCATGTTAAAAAGAATTCTTTGGCCGAGGGATATTCTGTTTTGTCAAAATTTCTAATGATATCCTTAGCCGTTCAATAGGGTGAAAAAGAGAAGAAATTGCTGAATAAGAGAAAAAACAGCAGTAAAGGATAGAGAAATTAAATTAATTTGTTTGAAAAATATTCGATATCGCTGTCGCCCTCTCACTGGTCGATAAACATGTCTTTACGTCACACGTTCTGTGTTTCTTGGCAAAATTCACAACCTTTTCAAAGTTATTGCAAGATTCATAATGTGAATTTATAACCATTTAAAAGTTTCATGCAAGATTCATAGTGTGATTTCTAGAACAATTTAAAGAGAATGGGGAAGATTTTCGTGTCTTTACATCTCAGTGTCTGAGACTGGATGATGTATGGATTAAATGGCAGATGAAATAATTGCGTTTAAGTAAAACAGAATGACACAGCTGAATAAAGTTATGTTTTTTGTTCGTTATCAAGATAAAACGGCAAACGCTTACGATTCTAATGTTTCATTACCTAAAATATCTCCTGAAGAGCTGTTTGATACCAGACAAGAAAATTACGTTTTCGTGACCTTAAGAGCTTGTGTAACAAGCTCTGCGCAAGGTCTATACATATTTTAGCCAGGTATCTTAACCTTGATAACACCCTGTAAACTGCTTTCTTCACTGAGACATCAAAGTTTCTTTGGGTACAAAAGCCCAAAAGTAATACATACCTCCACTTGCTAAGCCTTTGTTTATTACCACGATCAAGACTTGAACCTATAGGGCGGAAGGATATATTTTTAAAGGTAAAAAAATAGTTTTATGTCTCAGTATAGCAGAAGTACAAAGAAACCATATGTAAAGGTCGGCAGGCTGACCTGTAGCAAAATTAAAGGCCTTTGAAATTTCATTTTGTCGCTATTTCATCCGAAACCGAGCAAAGGCATTTTTGTTATGTGAATATTGTTTACAAAACTCTCCTGATTTAATTTTTTACCGACAGGTTTCATTTCCCCGCTGAGATTGCACTTTAGAAAAAAA